TTTATTTTTTTGGTAGCTATTGTAAACGGTATTGATTTCCTTATTTCTTTTTCAGCAATCTCTTTGCTGGTGTAGAGGAATCCAACTGATTTTAGGATGTTGATCTTATTATAATGGTGTTTTTAAGGGTGATCTAACAGAAGAACACCTCTTATGACAACATTGCCCATATTGCCAATTCATGAAAATATAGAGGACAATAAAGTTGAAATTCATTAAACTTCATAATATATTGGCAGTTCTGTTAGCTGGATTTTAACCCTATAGTTCCTGATATTTTTCCCTTAAAGAAACAGGAAATGTTATCATTGCAGGATAGGGAAAATGAGAATGAAAAAAAACCTTTTCCTGAAAAGGTGAGTAGAGGTATCTTAAAATTAACCACATACTTATAATCACAAAAGGCTGATTCAGGAAGGATTCAGGTTGATCTCTTACCTTAGGAAAAATTATTTTGTTCACTCATAGTTCAAATTGTCAGTAAATTATCTTTTAGTCTCGTAAATTGTTGATCAGTATTGTCTGTGTATAGTACATATTATAGTGTAGTAGTTAAGTATATAAACTGGAACTAGGGAGTCTAGGTTCATAATCTAAGCCCCACAATTACCTAACTGTGTGGTAATGAGCAAGTTATTTTCCCTCTCTGCCACAGTTTCATCACATGTAAAATGATAGGATAATACTACTTTCCTCATAGAAGTACTGTGATGATTAAGGGAACCACCATACTACCACCACCAACATCACAACACCATCACCATCATAGCAGCTAACATTTATTTACATGATCCTTACAACAACACTTTGCACATAAAAAGTACTCAATAAGTATTAGCTCCTGCTGCTTTCAAATGCCTATCTTAAGTTTTCTTTGTTGTCCAAAATATCATCTTTCTCCTTTCCCCGTGTCTGGGTCCCTAAACTGTTCTACGTACTTACTAAGCTTTTTATCTAATATGCTTTTATCATGCAGCTTTCTTTGTTTCTAATGATTTTTATCCCAAATAATGTCACTTGTCAGAATATTTTCAAGACCAGGTCAAATGTATCAGAATACCTTCTCTAATTATTCCCTCCTATTCCTCTTATGTTAGAAGGAGTCATTGTATCCTGTATTTGCACATACAGTATCTTTGCCATCATTGTATTTCTTATGTTCTCTTGAATCTTGTCACCATTAGGATACAAAGTTTTGAGATCAGAGACCATGTAGCCTAATACCTATATTATCTATATTTGCGTTGCATACTAGCTTCTTAACCAGTGAGATTATTTAATTAAAATATTTGTAAAGATGAATAACTTTAGATTTTTTAAAATCTACTTTTTAGATTAAATACAAGACACCTCATCCTGTAGGAGAAGTATATTTTACAGAAACCTTTGATACTGGAAGGTTGGCTGGGTGAGTATTTATTCAAGAAAATGTCTTCCTCAACTTGATTAGCTTTTTGAAGTTCCCAGTTATAGCCTGTGAAAATTGCCTCTACTACAGAACCATAAAAATCTTAGAAGTACTTTATTTATTGACAGAGTAAACTAGTATCTTAATGTATTTATTAATAGAAATGTTAAATTGAAACAGTTACTCATTTTTACAAAGAAAATACACACACACACACACACACAAAGAAAATATACAAATGAATTCTGGATATAAAGAAAAAACTTACTTCTTCATTCTCTAGTTCATATATTACCAATCTAATTTCACATGACAAATTTTGAATTACAATACTATCCTAGATGGTAAAGTAATAAAAGTTTTATTAAATAAAAGTGGTAAAAAATAATACAAGTTAATATTTACTAATTATTATGCCAGGTAGCATCCTGAATAGATAGGTAAGTACTATCTTTATCCCTGTTTTATAAGCCTCAGGAAACAGCGCCTTGCCTATGATCATACAACTAATAAATTGAAGACTCTACATTTGGTTTAACTCTAGCCTTTAGGGATATATATGTTGTAATGTGCCATCGAGTCGGACCCGACTCATAGCAACCCCTCCTTGGGTTGCTGAGGCAGTATCATTATGGAAGTAGATTGCCCAACTTTCCTTCCAATAGGATGTGTATAGACATCCTTATTTAGTCTCTGAGTAGTTATTTTTTAGAGAAGAGTGAATATGTTGAGTAATCTTTTGTTGTGTTTCTAATATGCATTGTATCTGTAAATTACATTTTATTTCAACTTTATTTACAGATGGGTTTTATCAAAGGCAAAAAAAGATGATACAGATGCGGAGATTGCTATATATGATGGTAAAATATTTATTTAAATATTAGATATAGCCAGTATGACCTAGAATTCACCAACCTTTGAGATTGTATGTCCATTAAGTGTATTTGCCCTGAAGCTCCATCCTGCTTCACAATAGAATGTTCAGTCTTTCATCTTCTGTGATATTTCTGGAAATCCCCAGGTCCTCCACACTTAGCTACCATCCAGTTTTCTACCTGTTCACAACTGAAGTTTTATTCCACTGCAGTTAGTCTCCTGCATTTCCTAAATCAGCGCTTCCCAAGCTACTGCTATTCTCTACTTTACTATGTCATTTCTAGCACTGATATAACTAGGCCAAGTATAATTCCCCCCCCCCAAAAAAAAACAGCAAGACTTCAGGAATATAATGCTCCCTAAATTATACCCAGAGAAATATGCATATCATACAGAATGCTTGGCTTTAAAATATCTATGTTTAGGTTAGTTTACAGTTTTTTTGCAGGACCCCACTGGGTAGATACTTGCTTTACATTTGTGTTTTAGAAGAATTCATTTATAGGAGTATCCTTAAAATTAAGATACAGTCTAATTCACAGGAGAATTTAAGTTGCTTTCTCTTGCTAGATAAAAATTGCTTTTAATATTTAAGTATTTTTCCCCCAGCTTAAGTTAAAAATCAAAGCCAAACAAAAAACAAACATCCTCTTAGCATCCAAATTTGGTCTGTTATCTTAAATATCCAAATAAATAGTTTTCTAGCTTATTAGATTAGCTGTGATTTCTAACTGACATTTTTCATTTCTTGAAAACCATTGCTGTTGAGTCAATTTCAACTCATAGCAACCCTATAGGATAGAGTAGAACTGCCCCATAGAGTTTCCAAGGCTGTAAATAAATCTTTACAGAAGCAAATTACCACATTTTTCTCCTGCAGAGAAGCTGGTGGAATAGAACCACTGACCTTTTTGGATAGCATCCTACAACTTTGAAAGATATGAATGCTACTTAATTTCCACTTTCTGAAAGAGGTGTTTTGAGTATTGATATCAGCAATGTTGTATACATATTGGTTAAACCCAAACCCACTGCCATCAAGTCAATTCCAACTTATAGCAACCCTACAAGACAGAGTAGAAATGCCCCATAGGGTTTCCAAGGCTGTAAATCTTTACAAGCAGACTGCCTCATCTTTCTCCCATAAAGCAGCTGGTGGGTTCAAACCACTGACCTTTGGGTTAGCAGCTAAATGCCATAACCACTGTGCCGCCAGAGCCAGAGCTCTTTTACATAGTGTTTAATTGAGAGAAGTATCAGATTTCTTGTTAAAAATATTTAGATTTTCCAGTAGTTAATCATCGCTTCTATCAAGTACCACCTACACAAAACTCTCATTATTGCTAGTGTTTTAGGAGTAAATAAATCTGATAGGGAACATTAAGTGCTAGGGTACAAGCATTTGGAAGTTAATTATTTGTATTTTCAGATTTTTATTAATAAAAATTCAGATGTTACATTATAATGATCAGTTCTTTAAGTTACCAGCAATCAGAATATCATGTATAATCATGTAGTGTTATTGGGAGAGTGGCAGATTAATTCTTTTTGTAATTTTATTTATAGCAGAATTTATATTACCCAGTCTTTTCCAGGATTTGAGTATAATAGGTAACTAATCTGGTTAATAAAAAATTGTTAAGTCAGGAAACATCTTGTCAATGAATTACAATTATTTTGTCACAAGTTTTCTAAAGTTAAAGTGCTAGATGGTACCTTTTTCACAGCTAATAAAAGTATGTAGGTAATTTCC